TGCTTTGGCCGCCTCTCTTGCCTTCCGTTTGCGGTGGTTGTGGCGGGCGGGCGGGGCGGATTTTCGGCGCGCTGGCAACAGCAATGATGCGCAGGCCACCGCGGCGAGCGGTGCCCTGCTGCAAGGGGCGTGCGCCAATGCGTGGCGCCACGCCATGGCCCTGTCCCGCAATGCGAATGCCCGGCGTGCGGCAGGCATCGCGCCCGGCCCCCGCGTCGCTTTGCCACACTCGCAGACCTAACTTGTGTTGCTGAGGCAAGCGCGCCCGCTATGGCCGCGGCGCGGACGTCCCCGGCAATGCTCCCCCCCGCAGATATGGTGGTAGGCGCCGGCGCGAGCATCCACCTCGTGTATGACCACGTGCGACACTCCGTGCTCTACTTGGGCTGGGCCGCTGTCTACCTGTTTCTTATCTTTGTCGCGCAGCCATGCTCGTACTTCGTCGTCGCCGCCGCAGACTCGGCGTGGCGCAGGCTCCCGTGTAATGGATTTCGCGATTGGGGCGTCCGCGTCGTAAAGGGCGGCTTAAGGTTGATTTCGCCAGACCTTGCGCAGCGCTGCTTCTCTTACAAACCTTTCGGCGAGTACTTGGGAGAGGATGCCGGCCTTGCAGGGAAGAAGAAGCTCCCGTTGCATTCCGTTAGTTTGCAGGGCTGCGCTTGGATGCTACCGTACCATATCGGCGTTTGCGAAGGTAAGTTTCCTACTGCGGCGAGCCCAACCTTTAATTTATGCTTCTTCTGTGCGCGAGAATGTGTAATCTGACGTCCACCACCCATTCTTTTGTGCCTCTTCAGTGCTCAAGAGGGAGCGCATCGTCGACGAGAAGACGGTATGGCTGGGCTCCTCAGGCGGCGCGCTGATCGCCGCCGCCGCCGCGCTAGACCTCGACCTGGACTACCAGCTCAAGGCTTGTATTAGCATGGGCATGCAGAGCGTTGAGCAGCATCTGCTAGGTCCAATCGGTAAGATGAGTCAATACATTGGCCCGCACATCATGCGTTCCCTCCCGGAGGACGCGCACGAGATCGTCCGTGGAAAGCTCTTCATCTCCGTGACGGAGACGCCCCAGGACAGCAAGGTGTGGGGGAATCGCCTGGTCGCAAACTTTAAAAGCAGGCAGCACTTATTCAATATGCTCATGGCCTCCACCTACATTCCGGTGTATTATGAGGTGCCGGTCAGACCGGGGCGAGGCGGCTTCTACTGGGACGGCGGATTTTCAAATAATCAGCCAGTCCTCAGGGCTCCGGATACGGGCAGATGTATCACCACTACGGTTAGTCCAGTCGCGAGGATGGCCGATATCAGCCCGATGAGGCAGGAGACGTGCAACATTGAGCATCTCATTCCCAACGATTTTGATGCGGCTATGGAGATCTATCGCAACGGGCGCGCCGATGCGGAGAAATATGTCGCCGATTTGAGGGCCAACGCCAAAGTGTGGGACTGCGGCGAGCGTGGGGAGCAGCGTCACTAAAGCGCAGCGTCACTAAAGCGCAGCACGGCAGGTGGAAGAAGCGGGTGGTGTTTGCCGGCACCTACATAGCAGTGCCGCTGGCGGCGGTTGGCGGTTGGAAGAGGACCTTTCTTTTTCTTGCAACTGCCAAGCGTACCTTTGTGCGCCCACAAATTTTTGAATTGAAAAATGAATCGCTGTGCGCCGTCGACAGCCAAGACAAGTTGCTTGGCCGTCCATTCCCAAACTCATCCTGCATCCTCGGGGCGCATCCTCGGGGCGCATCCTCCCACCACAAGAGTGATGCCATATAGAACATCAAGCCGTCTATCCTCAGCTTCTGTAAACAATGCTGGACGTCTTCCTCTACATCGCACACAAGCATTGTTTTTGCATGTGAGCCCGTTCTGATAGGGGGAGCAAAAGCCAGGTTGCGGGACTGCTTCCTTGTACTTCTAGCCTGGCACATACTCGCAATTCAGATCATTTAAACGGTGCATTTACCCATGACACAAAACTCTCGTTCGCGTACTGCCCAGTACATCGATGTCGCAGCTCACTTCAAACAGCCTTGAGGTTCAACTACACGACACCTGCCGTCCCAGTAGATGTGGCCCGTCAAGTTCTGCTGTGATAGGTTGCAATACGTTGAGTTTTTCAAGAAATTCAATGGCTTCTTTTGCCCCTACTGTAATTGAGTTTATTGAGAATTGTATTAAAATCACGGTGCATATCGCGTATGATAAAAAACTTTATTTACAACCAGGGAGAACCCGGTCAAGTTATATAGTTGCGAGAAAGACCGCCACCGACCGCCGAAGGGTATCTCCCTATTTCGTGCCTCTGGACAAACACGGTAAGCAAAGTAAACTGCCTGTCATTAATCAAAGAAACGGCATGTCAGCAGGGAGATGTCTCGCCGTCATGAGTGAGGAATGCACTCATCAAACACTTTTGCTTCATGTATGTACAGGTGGACGCCTCCCTACGGTAGGAGACAACTAAAGGCACCTACACTATCTCTAGCGTTGGCCTAACTGTTTTCAACACCGGAATGTAACGTACATTGCCATTCAGTTGCCGATGCTTGTCTTAAAAGCAAGACAAAACCGTTAAGCTTTCACAAAGTGCGTGCGACAACGATGTGGAAACCTCGTGCTGGAATGTGTTAACGGCATTTCGTATCTGAGTAGAGTACATCAAATGCAAAATGCACCACTGTACCCCAACCGTGATTGTTCCGAGAAATTGATAAACCATCCCACACCAATCCCGCGCCACGGATTGCTACTTTGCAATGATCACTTGCTGGGTGGGGCCCGTACCGAATGTATGAATGATCTGACTACCTTCTTAGGGTTCGTGCATGGTCTCTATCCGTATTTGCACATTCTACTGCATGTGAAACTAATACATTTTGGGGTTCCGATTCCCTGGCAGGCTGCCCGGGGCCTCCGCTTCATTTCATCATTCCATGCAGAAAGCAACTGCGTCTTTCTGTATGCGCCAGAGTTGCCAGCACCGGGTCGGAATGCTAAGTGGGCTCTATAAATACTACTCGTTCGCTCTCCCACAACACCCGATGGAGCGTAAACCTGAGCGGCAATAGAAACTTGAGGACTGTCGCACATCTCCGCGTGCACACAAGCCAGAACCTATTCACCACAACAATGTCAGCGATGTCGATACCATTTTTGATGTTTGTGATCTTCATGACTACAATTCATGAGAAAGACTCCTTCGCCTCTGCACACACTGTCTTGTACAGACCGCTTGCATGGAATCCTATTCATTGCAGCCCTCCAAACTGCTGGGGGCCAATACCGGGTGAATGGACAAAAGGACAATATAAAGCCCGCAATAGTGCTAATAGACCTGCTGAAACGTGGAAGCGAGGTCAACATGTCAAGATTCAGTGGCACCGCAATAACCACAGCGGCGGGTTTGTACGTTTCTCTCTTGTCCCCGTCTCCAAGAAGAACGACCGCAGATGGCATGCCTACACCGCCTTCCACTACGGTTGCTTCTCGGGACAAGTTTACAAGTGCAAGGGAACCAGGGCTTGTGGAAATGACAATCTCGGCCGTGGCTATTATCAATATATTGAGGTTCCAAGAGTATTCCCTGACGGAAACTACGTTTTTACCATGGTCTGGTTTGGCGGTCTCAGAGTCAAAGACGTCAAGGAGGAGTTTCCAAACTTTTTTTCGGCTAGTTATGTCCGTATCAGAGGCGGGAAGTCTGTGTGGAAGTATCACAACCCCAAGTTTTTCCCCGTCAAAAGCTCATTTAACAGAGATGGAGAAGTAAATGCGCCATATGGAACGTGCTTGACGGCTGCATCCTGGGTCGGAGAGTGTCGTCGTGGCCAAGCATGCCGGGGCAGAAAAGCAGTTGCAACAGTTCCAGGAATTTTCAAGAACGGGCTCCGACCGGAAGTCATTCATGCCAAGAAGATCAAAATGGCGCTAAGTCGACGCTAGGCGCACCATGTTACTCATGCGAGGACACGTTCGATCCAACTTTCATTTTCCGGTTCTCCTACCCTTACCACAATATAGTCTTTCGACGCTCTAGATACATCCTGATACTCATGAACAGACACATTCGATTACTTCCGCTTTCCGGTTCATCCATGTATACTCCCCATAATATAGTCCGTCATGTAAAGGTCTACTGTCCTGTAGCACTATTGCCCTCATCTCAGAAGGAATCCGTATTTTTCACAGTCTTGAATGCGGACCTTGTACATGTTTCATTTGGGCGATGAAACAATGAGCAACAAAAGGAATTCTGCTCCCCCGGACGGTTGTAATTGGACGGTACACTAGCTAAGGATGCAGTGTGGTAGAGCTCCGGTGCAAGCACAATCTAAATTAGAGTACATTTCTTGTGCAAACATCGCACATCTCTCGTCAACAGTTCAGGTACATTGATTGTACCCGAGCTACTGACGAGAGATGTGGTACATTGAATGTACCCTAACTACTGACGAGAGATGTGCGATGTTTGCACAAGAAAGGTGCTCAAGCTGGCAATAACTTTACGCTTGTCAAGACACGATGGATCGAAATAGGCAATACTATACTGTACACATTAAATGTGCTCAAATTTTGAGCTCCCTGACACGTGTAATACATCAACTATGTGCACGTGTATAGTACACGTTGCAGGCATTACAGTACTATCATATTGATGTGAGACGGTTGAGCCTTGCTGTACAAGGCGGACCATTGACATCTTAGATCCATCGTCGCCGGCACTGGGGGAAACTGTGATTGCTAGCTTACCCCTCGCGATGCCCTCTTTTCCCACTGACAACTTCTCTTATGAGGCCTCTGCAAAGGCTCTCCGCTATGGAGATGTCCCAGTCCTTGACAAGCTAGCAGCGTGCGACAGGCTACTGGCGCTAGCGGGCACCCTATCACCATCGCCTTATACTCTGGTGCTCAACCACATTCTCTTCGTCCTGAAACCCAAACCGCCATCCACTGCGTTTACCGAACATCTTCCAGCCTACTGGAATCTTCTCGCTCGAACTCTCAAGGAGTCCAAAACTGACATCCATTCCTTGCAGGCACATCCGAACAACCTTCTCCCCGCAGCCACCGCTCATTTGGCCTGTTCCGACACCGCCGTCGTGCAGCCGGTCGCTGACGCCCTTCTGTACCTAGCGTCGTCAACCACTGCTCGTCCGTTATCGCAGAGCATCGAGCTGCATGCCTCTCTGCTTGCTACGGTTGTGAGCTTGGTGCATAAGCATCCCGGCTTGCACCCTCTCGCGGTATGGACACTAGATGCCCATTCTCGGCTTCAACAACGTTCGCGAGATCCTCGAGACGTGCTATCCGTTGCGGTTAAGAAGCTCTTGTTTCCATTGCTCTGTGCACCGTCAAATTTAAGAACTGCTGCGGAACCGCTTCTGGCCACGGCTATTTTCGGCGCTCCAACGCTCTCTCGACAGCCACTGTTGCGCCATATCCGGGAATCAAACGATCCGTTTCTTCCAGAGGCAGTGGAATTTTTGTTTAGGGCTTGTGTTCGCGTTGCTAGAAGTGCAGAGATCACCTCGGAGGGGCGGTCTTCAAAGGGGCGAAAGCGAAGCGCAGCCTCGCAGGGATCGCTTGCCCAGGACGTGCTACGAGTGATTCAGTTTTTTGACGAGCTTGTAGTGACGCTAGGGGACTCGCTACAGGATGCCACCAAGTCGGACATTCTTCAAAGTCGATCTGCATTAGCTCTGAAAGTCGTTGCGCTTGCGAAGGTCTTTGAGGTTGCAAAAGAAGTAGATGCGTATCGACCATCCTATGACGTGTTGGCGGCGCATGCTCCTTCAAAGCGATCTCGGACTAGTGGCAAAGCAGGAGACGATGTGAAGGCAAGTAGCGACAAAAGCACCGAACATCAGTCGCACAGAGTACATATCGGTAGTCGGGTCCGCAAGCTTTTCATGAAACTGGTGACTCTCCTTGGCAGTCTATATCGCGACTCTGAAAGTTCTGGCGAAGTTGTAGAGGCAGTCTCTCTGGCCTTGCAATCTATTTTGGCGTTCTCGCTAGATGCTGTCGAGGACACTGTGCCTGATTTGCTTATGGTGATCGTGCAAGGACGTGATGCCAAGAAGCAGGAGGATGTCGAATACAGCCTCCTCCCATCCAGACAGGGCATTTTTTGCGCCTTGGTTAAAAGTCATCATGAAACACGGTTACTTCCACTCTTGTTTAAACGTTTGACAAGTTCTTCTATGGGGTTTCGGCTCTTAAGTGGGCTTTCAAACCTTCTTTGTGATGATGAAATGAAGAGGACACTCGCAGAAGCCATTGAATCGCTTCCTCTTGGACAACCGCAGCAATGTATCGAGGCCCTCATGAGCAACGAAGGCAGGCTTTCTTCGAATAGTGTGCCGTGTACATTCTTCTTGATTTCGCTCATCATGGAGGCGGCGAATACAACGGAGTTTCGCGGTGTATGGGAAAGTGTTCAGAAGAATGTGATTCCCCGTGTTCCCGGAATGAAGCGTTTGGCATCGATTCGGTCAGCATCATTGTCTTTATTATCCTCACATATTTTCAGCTTGGCAAGGATGGACGCAGCACTACTCTCGACTCAGTCAACCGAAGAGTTGTCGACGAGCGATCTCTTAATTGCGTGCGGGGTCTCTGAGCAGATTTGCCAAGATCCTTCGTTCACAGTAGCGGAGAAACTCTACCGTACATTTTCACAAAACAAACAGAAAGAAGATGTCACCGAGTTAGTCTGTGTGATCAGAGCACTGGCGATGTCATGCCATTGGGTAGTGGCACGGACACCGAATGAAAAGGACAAAGAGTTGCTGAAGAAGATGATATTCTTGGTCTTTGACTACTTTGCTCAACTGGTTCCGAACAAAGCGAGCTATCATTTCTGGGAGGGTGCGTCACTGTTTCATGAACGATTGCCTCGTGATGTGACAGTGTCGTTTGTTACCAGTCTTGTTCCATTGCTAGACTTTTGCGGATCTAGTGATGAAGTGCCGCAGGGGTTTGCTAGCTTTCTTGGGTATGTGGCACAAAGGTTTAATGGCCTTGATCAGTTCTGGGAGGATCTTCTTGAGTGTTCGGTTGTTCATCGAGTACTTGGTGATTCGTTGAGGACATGGCTATCAGCCTTCGCAAACAGAACAGACACGCGTACCCCGACTTGCCAATCGAGTGGGTGCCATATTTCGAAAGTGCTCCGATTGCTGCAGTCGCTTCCGGCTTCCTTTTTGAGTGTAAAGGACGAAGAAGGGATCGGGAAGACAGTTGCCGAATTGGAAATGTCGTTATGCTGCCAGGAGGCCAAAGGCGAGGCGTTTGAGACGATGCTACGTTTGCGGGGTGCTTCGTTTGGTTCAAATGCATCTATGGTCCTGTCTATGGCTACTCAACATATTTCTGACCATATTCTGAAGCTCATTGGTGAGAAGGTATTGAATGGTGCATTGAATGAGGAGGAGGGAATGAAACTAGTGAAGTCAGTGATAGATATATGGATGAAAAAGGGATCCCCCACAGTGAGGCCTTATCGTGTACGAAATTGCAGCACGGCATTGGCATGCGTGGGTGTGGTGAACGCCATGGGTGAAGGTACTCTGAACAGAATGATTGGATACATTCTGTCTGTACAAAGGGAGTGCGAGGCTGTTCTGGAAGGGAACGGGAGGACAAACGGGGATCTGGCGAAAGTCCTCGAGGTAGCAGAGGCGGTTTTGAGATTGCGGAGCGGTGGGAATGAATGGAAATCGCTAGAAGGAAGCAAAAAAAAGGTCGTGCGGCAAGGATCGGAGCACATGGATACGTTTTTAAAGAAGATATTTGAGGAATCGGTGGCGTTTGCAATGAGAATGGTAACGCACAACGGATCCTCAGAGGAAGATGAGGAGTTTCGAAGAACGGGTCGTTCATTTCTTGTCTCTTTGTGTGAAGGAAAGCGGGTGGGGTACCGAGTGTGTCAAGCGGGAGGCGAGGGGTGGTTCGCGATGGGTCGCGTAAGCGCAGTAGCTCTACACCTACTCCGATCGACGAGCGGGGCAGGACGGAGCGCGGGAGTGGAAATGCTGTGTGGGATTGGGAGCAACGAGAGCGACGAGAATGTGGAGCAACTCGGAAAGGCGATCTACGAGGAGCTGAAAAGTTGGGGCAATTTGTGGCAGGATGACGCGAGCAAGTCAGTCAGTGATGGCAGGGGGACGAAAATGGTGAAATTATTTGAGGTGATGCGTGGAAGAATATTGGCTGGCGGTTGTATGATATGCGGGTGGGAGACGGATGCAGAGGGATGTGCAGTGAATTGGGGCGGATGCGGCAAGGAATTTGCGGGTTTCAGGGAGGCTCGACGGCGACGTGATCTCGGGAGTCTGCGTGTGGAGGGTGAGATGACGGGGCTGGTGTTGTGTGAAATGCTGAAATGCGTGGGGGTTTTGGTGGACGAGATTCAGAAGTTGGAGGGACTGCCTACTCGAGTGCAAAGGATGTATGCGGAGGAATTGAAGCAGATGAGACAGGTGACGCGCGAATGTATCTCGGTGAGCATGGACAGTGCTGAGATTGCGGGGCGGCGCAAGGGCGGGGACCGGGTGGACGGGCAGGAAGTTATGACTCTGGTATGCGGGCTGGGGCCGTGGGTCGGAGTGGCGGATGAAGACGGAAGCGGAATTGGGGAGTACACGCGAGGACAGATGGGGCGTATCTGCACAGGGCTGGTGCACAATCAAAGCTGCACACGTTGGCCAGGGGCGCGGCTGCTGCGATCGGTGCTGCACGGGGAGGGTCTGTCCAGTCGGAGCGGGCGGGCGGTGGGGGAGGGGTACGGGGAGCTAGGGGAGTGCGGG